TTATCACTAACTTCGAGGAATGTATGTATTTAGTGAGAAAATCAACTACTATGCATGAGAATCTTATGGATGTACAGACATGGTATAAATAGTCAACTGATTCCTGTTTTTGATTTGAAACATAACAGTTTCATGCATATTTAAGATTTTGGATTAAAATATTAACTAAAGAACTCAAAACTAATAAATGTTCCTTTTATATATTATCTATCACTACAGTGAGGACTCCGTAGATTCATATCTGCACATTTATACAACTGTTTTACTTTTTCTAAATAAATACACAAGTAATATGATGCCATGTCTTTCTCATTGGTTTTTTTCACAACAAAAGCAGGCACTTCATTTTCATTTGCATCTTTCATCATATGGTGGTTCGGAATGTACTCCAACTCAAGATTTGGATGGATCTCACGAGTTGCTTGAATGTAATAAAGTTCAGTCGACCAATATGTTTGAAGCATCACTTGATCCCAGGGTAAATATTTCGTTCCGAAAGGGCATTAACGCTGGTGATTCAAATTTGTCACCTCATTCTAGCAACAGAGATATTGTGGACAATGTTGTCTGTAAATCTGTGACCAATACTGAAGATAATGTGAACCGATGGAGAGAAAAATCGGATGTTGGGTGCCTAAAAAATGCTGAAGTTAGCAATGCAATCGAGCTCTCTGTTGTGGCATCTGAAGCATTGGTTATACATGATTTGTTAAAGGCTGAGCTAGACTCTGAAGCAGTATCAGTTGAGTCTGTCCTTGAAGTTTCCATCAGGGTCAAACAAGCTCGCATTGAGTTGCTGGAAAGTGCCTATGAAAGCTTAAATGAGGAAGTGGACTTGAGCGATTCTCTTTCAGATTTGGATGACTTATTAATGAGAGATGCGTTTGATGATGTAGGATTCCCTTGCAGTATTCTGAGCAGTGATCGGTGTGAAACAATATGTTCTGATGTTCAAGATACTCCTGTCAATGAAAATCAATTCACACATGGCAGTCAATGTAATTCTATAGATATGCCAAGTCAACCAAACATTTCGGGGAATGGATTATCCCTGCAGCAGTCGGAAGAGAATCTTGTTGTGCCAAGACCTGAGGGCTTGCTTTTGGAACATCTGAGTTGTAACATTCATAATCAACTTTCCGATCATGATGAGTTGGGTTCGGCTAGTCTGAACTATTGTAAATATGGCTCAATGTTGCAACAATCAGCTCAGAATGAATCAGACGAGTTTGTGGTGAACCAGGTAAAAGTCCAAAGGACATCTCCGTCTTGAGATTTTCCCAATGCTACTATCCAAAATATTTTGAATGAGACATATCAAAGACCATCCACTTAAAGAAGAAGTGTAATAGGTTTTCTCCAGTATCTGTCAATTGTCAGATAAATCTAGTAAATGTTGGACATTAGCATTACAAATAGCATGGAATACTATTTAAGCTGTTAATAACAACGGTATGATACCATGACTGCAGAAAACTGTCTCGACTGCAGTTAATACAAATTTGTGTATGAACCATGCCGAGGAAAGCTCCAACCTACATGAGTGCAATACAGTGTCAGCAAGTGAGTCACTTTGATCTGTATTTTTGTTGTATGAGAAAATTCAGGCCTTAAGTATTAAATAGTTTTCTTCCCATTTCCAGAAAATGATGAACAAGCTGCTTTCTTAACTCCCGACAGATTTAAGAGTCGTTGGCTGGGTGGTTGGTCAGGTAAGGTGTGTGCTCCACTCTTATTTACAATCCACCTTGCCGTTTCGTACATTAGGGTTTAGATTATTATGTTGAAATCTGGAGTTTGATACTGTTAAACAGAGAATAACTCAGTGCTTAAGATCAACAAGCTTTGTTTGGTGGATTTTTTATTATTCATTTCCAAGTGTTATAGCAAAATTGATTCAATTGCAATTGAAAGAACACAGCGAGGATATTTTATAAAATAATACTAAAAACCATGTGATATTTTGATTTATTGAGTTTACTAGGATTTATTTTAGAAATTTTGGTCCAGGTTCATTATGTGAAAATGGTTACTCAGAGTTGGCGATTCGGAATTTTTTTTCTATCCATGTACTTATTTGTTTAAGACATAAAGCTTAATCTTCTCACCAATAATATAACGAAGGTGTTGGTAACTTTTTATGTACTTTTGTTACTATAAATCCCTTCAACGTGGAGGGTTGCATTTAGCATTTCTCATTGATGGAACTCCCTCGCCCCAAAACTTGTTCTTTTTCACTTCTACCTTATTGAGGTCAAGTTCATTTCCACTTGCGAGTCACTATTATGGTTCTCCTTCCCCTTTCATTTCCTTTTTGTTAGTTTAATCAATTTTTTTCTCGTCTAATTGTTACTCTGATTGTGCCTTTCCTCTTCCATTTCCCTTTTGTAAGGAAGAAGACGCTTCTGAGCAATTGAGACAAAATGTTGATGGAAAAACCATTCCTTCGATGTTTGTTAATGAAACAAGCTTTCTTTCTGAATCTGCTGATATAGCTCCAGACGAGAACTCTTGTGTGCAAAGATGTGAATCTAAGTTCCTAGTTGCTTCACAGTCAAGTGTACTTTTTGGTCATTTAGATGAAAATGGTGTCGAAGGTTTGCTTGTAGCTGAAGATGTCGTGAAATGTAGCCTATCCTTGGTCGATCCTCTTTGTTCTTTTGTTCCATGCAGCATTTCTGTGGACGCTGATTGTACTGGACAGAATCTGAATAATCTGAATGACGGAAAAGATTCTACAAAAGAATGCTTAGGCACCTTTGTGGATGTTGGAGGTTCTAGGCCCTCGATTCGAAGGCAGCTAACTTCACTAAAAACTTACAGCACAATTTTGCCCACTCATGGTAATTTGGAAGGGGGACTGGACAACGATTATTCACATAATCTACAAGGCAATATGAGGCTGTTATCATCAGATTCACGTCTGGATTATACAATAATTTCCTGCAAAAGAAATTCTATGGAGACTTCACCCTCCCAGCCTGCTAAATCTAGAAATATGGAAATTGTGGAGGAGAGCCAAACTGATACCGACCACAATTTGGTTGAGGAAATAGTAGAACTGAAAAGCATAAGTGATGAAGTTGCAGGTGATGGGAGTGAGTTCCTTGTTCAGTCAGTGAAGAAAAGGAAAACTCGTGACATCTTAAGTCAGAGTCTGCAGGTATCTAAATCCATAATGAAGAAATCCCATCTCAAGAAAGATCATTTGCAGAGTTCAAGAACTGAAACTATATCAGATCCCCAAAAGGTCGAAAACACCATGAAGATGCAATATGAAAGTAAGAATCCCCTTGAGCCATATATGTTGATGCAGAAGAGAGTCCGTTTCTTAGAAGCTAATGATCAGCCTCAAGAAAACTCAAACCTTCAAAAAGTACATCCTTCAAAAAATTGTAAGGGTTGGAATATTGTTGGTGTTACTTACATGATTTACTATGTTTTTTCTTTTTTAATAAATTTCCCTTTCGGTTGGAATGCAGATTCTACTCTCAGAACTGGTAAAAGGTGGAAGTTTTCTAATCAATGTGTAGTATCTAGTCATTGCAACTATTTTTAGGTTAGCGTTGACTATATTGATTCAAGATGAGTTAGAATTGTTGCTTATGATTCCTGCTCGTTGCATCGTTATTTATGATTCTCGTGCATTGCATCATTGTTTATGATTCCCGCTCGTTGCACGTTGCCCACACACCTATATATTAGTTCATATACATTGGCGTAATATTAATTTGGAGAGATTTGCAAGCTATGCTATATGCATACACACATGATTAGAGAACTAAAATAAATTATGATTCTATTCTTATCCTCAATCTTAATATTTTCCGTTATTATTCTTTTGATTTGTCCTACTTACCACTTTCTATAATCATACGAACACTTAATATTATATGATTATTTAAGAAACTTCTAAACGTGTTACAATATAAATAAAAATTTATGCTTAATTAATTCATTACGAATTTATTTAAAAATTTCCAAAAAGTCACTTAATTAATATAAAATTACTGCAAATAAAGTACATTTAACAGTGAAGTTTATATGATTAAGTCATTTAAAAGGGAAGTGCATATTATTATTATAGGCAGTATCTTTAATTTCCTTTTAAGCCTTTTATAATCATCTTATCGGAAGTGCATATTATTATTATAGGCAGTATCTTTAATTTCCTTTTAAGCCTTTTATAATCATCTTATCGTCAAGATCGCTTTCATTTGGTCTCGGTTCATTTATATATTCATCATTTATTTGAGTGTCGCAACGACGCATATTCTTAATTGTGGATAATATATATATATATTTATTTGTTTATTTATATGGTTCCCCAAAAAATATACACCATAATTATTGAAAATAAAAATAAAATCTATTATTTTATTCCCACGTAAGAGTAGCTGATTCCCATATTGATGTCGTTCCAAAATAAAATAAAATAAAAATAAAAATAAAGTGGAGCACTAAAAAGAACCTCCAAATATTTATTCATCAACTACCAGCAAAATGGATAGTGATCTATCTCGAGGGATATTTCGGTAATTATCCATTGAAGTAACATTTATTATAATATGACTGATATTGTTCCATATTAAAAGCTAAATTTATTGAAATATTTTGAGGATTTGTTCAATTAATTAAAAAAATATAATTTATTTCTTATTTATTAGGATTTGTAGCTTTACCTTAAAAATTAAAAAATAAAGAAAAAACTTTATATTATTATAAATTATAATTAATGCAACTAGCAATATATCGATCTAAATCGGCTAACAGATATTATTTCTTTAGATTTTTTCTTTCTGATTTCCCTCAAGGTTTTAAAAATAGGTCGGTTAGTAAACAGTTTTCATATCTTATAAAGAATATTTTGTTCTCCTCCCCATTCGAAGTAGTATTTCACGGTATAGTTTGGACTTTATTATAAATGTAATAATATTTTAAAATAATTTCTAAATTTGAATCTACTGCGGTTAATTAATTCAAATAGCTCATAATGGAAATTAAAAAGGTCCTAATAGAATATCACGACTCTCTCTTCTCTCACTTCTTTGATTCTCACGACTAATCATATTACAAAATTTCAGAACTTCCTCTGTCCATTTACACGCTTCGCACGTTCGGTCTCCATAATAATCATCATAAATCCAATTCCATCCAATTCTTCTCAGCTTCTTGTTCTTCTTACAACAATTCTTAACCACACTCTTAGAGCCCCTCCGATCACTACTGGAATCCTTTTTCGACAAAGAAATCTTGTTCCTGATCCAAAGATAATAAACAAATTCCTTAACTTTCTGACGACAATGAGCCATTTTAAACCCTAATTTTTCCTCACAAATCTTCAAGAACTTAACTCCCTCGTCCTCCAAATTCTTTGTGTACAAAATGATGCCGTATACATAACAAGCTTCCAGGTAGTCTTTTTGGGCAGAAAGCTTTAAATATTTCATTCCATTAGCTTCTCTACACTGGGAGAAGAACTCCAACATTCCCGATCGGTATAAGGCCTCTGGGTTTCCGTTGTTGACGCATTTTCCCATGAATGACCAAAATTCTGGGTCGATGTTCCATCGAAGAGTACGGAAGTTTCCAGTGGATGCGTGTTGGAATATGTAGTTGTGGTTTGATGCTTTGAGAAATTCCTTGTTAGCTAACTTGGCATGGACTAAGTCCTTGATTGAATAAGCTGCAACTTTTGCCAGAATTTCGATCAATAAATCATTCGGGAGTGATTCTATGGTCGATGGAGAAGCACTGAAATGTGTCATTTTAGTTGTCCTGCACATCATAAATTAGAGGGAAACAAACTTAAAGAAGAGCTCGAGCCACTGCCAAATCGACAAAAGTAGGTTAATAAATTCATTATTGAAAACTAGTAGATGAAAAATAATTAAACAAATTTTATTAATAAAAAAAGTATGCATGCAAAAATTAAGCTAACTTACCTTGAAATCTGAGAGTCAAGAGTCTGAGATTTTCGTTTCAAGGAATCGGCCATCATGCTACGATCCTCAAGCTTTTCACTTATGAACAGCGACGTTTCGCTATTTATAAAGAATTTCACAAATATTTTAATAGAGAGAAGCAGTGATTAAAACTGGAGTTTGTTTACTAATCAAATGAAAAAAAAAAGTGCTTCCTAAAATAGGTTGATTCCAGGGAGAATGAGAGAGTTTATATAAAGAAAATATTTTGATTTTCCCCTCGAGTTTTTGAATTTTCTTATCCTATTAAGAAATCTGATTTTAATTATCTTTCTTTAAAACAAATTTGATGTTAAATATCTACATTTTTTATCAAATATTCATTTTTTTTAATCAAATATTCACTATTATGAAAGTTTATCTTTTTTTTAAACAAATCTAAAATTTAATACATTTTTATTAAATATTCATTTTTTTTATCAAATATTCACTTTTTTAAATATATATTTATCAACCATTTATTAAATTTAAATTTGAAAGTTTAAAGATTACGAAAGATTATTATCTTCTTTTAAAATAAATCTGAAGTTAAATATTTATCTTATCTCCATTTTTATTAAATATTCAATTTTTTAATATTTATCAACCGTTGTTAAATTTAAATTGAAAATTTAAAGATTCTGCAAGTTTATTGTCTCTTTTTTAACAAATCTGAACTTAAATATATTTTTATTAAATATTTATTTTTTTATTATCAAATATTGACTTTTTTAAATATATATTTATCCACCGTTAATAAATCTAAATTTGAAAATCCAAAGATTATGAAAGTTTATTATTCTTTTTTAAAAATAAATCTAAGTTAAATATTTATCTCATCGATATTTTTATCAAATGTTTATTTTTTTTAATCAAATATTCATATGTTTATTTTTTTTAATCAAATATTCATCTTTTTTAAATATATATTTATCAACCGTTATTAAATTTAAATTGAAAAATTTAAAGATTATGAAATTTTATTATCCTTTAAAGATCTACATTTTTATCAAATATTCACCTCTTTTAAATATATATTTATCAACGGATATTAAATTTAGATTTGAAAATTTAAAGATTACTAAAGTTTATTATCTTTTTTTAAAAAAACAAATATAAAATTAAGTATTTATCTCATCTACATTTTTATCAAATATTCACCTTTTTTAAATATATGTATCAACCGCTATTAAATTTGAAAATTTAAAGATTATGAAAAAATTATTATCCTTTTATAAAAACAAATCTGAAGTTCACCTTTTTTAAATATATATTTATCAACCGTTATTAAATTTGAAAATTTAAAGATTATGACTTTGCTTTCGACTTCCTAAAATGCCTCATACTAATGGAAATAGTATCTCTTATTCATGATCTTCCACTAAATTAACGAACGTGGGACTCACTTCCAATAATCCTCAATATTATTTATCTATATTAACTTAATGATAATAATAATTTTTGTGTTAGATATTTAAAATTTTAATTATATCAGTAGCTTTTAATTAATAGTTCCAAAACTTATACACATATTTAGTAAGTAATTATTATATGTAATCATTCATAAAGAAATAAGCTACACGGATGCTGTGTTTTTCTAAGTTTCATTAATAGAAAATATTTTGTTTTTTCCTTTTTGGTTTATATTTCCATTACCTAACCTCATAAACTTAATTTCAGTTTTTCGGTCGGTATTTATTAATATTTATCTTTAAAATAAATAAAGCGTCTCGTATGAAGAGGTTTTATAGGTTCTTGTTTTGTTTTCCTCCCCAATTCATATGAGATCTCACAATATACTTTCGAGTTTCGACTTTATTATAAATGTAGTAATATTTTAAAATAATTTCCAAATTTGAATATTGATAAGCTTTGACCGTTAATTAATTCAAATATATCAACACAATCATAAAAAATACAAATAATTTTATTATTAAGCTAATAATGGTAATTACAAGTGCCCTACAACATATCATAACTCCCTGTTCTAAGCATATTACAAAATCTCGAAACTTCTTCATTCCATTTACACGCTTCACACGTGTGTTCTCCATAATAATCATCCTCATCGTTCCCATCCCATCCAATTCTTCTCACGTTCTTCTTACAACAATTCTTAACCACACTCTCACAGCCCCTCTGATCACTGGAATCCTTTTTCGACAAAGAAATTTTGTTCTTAACCCAAAGATAACGAACAAGTTCTTTAACTCTCCGACGACATTCAGCCAATTTAAACCCTAATTTTGCCTCACAAATCTTCAAGAATTTCACTCCCTCATCCTCCGAACTCGCTGTGTACAAAATGATGCCATATACGTAACAAGCTTCCGAGTAGCCTTTTTGGGCAGAAAGCTTTAAATATGCCATTCCAGAAGCTTCTCTACAATAGGTGAAGAATTCCAACATTCCCTTCTGGTATAGAGTCTCTGGATTTCCGTTGTTGTTGCATTTTTCCATGAACGACCAAAACTCTGGGTTGTTGTTCCATAGAAGTTTTTGAAAGTTTCTAAGGGACGCGTGCTGGAATATGTAGCCATGACTTGATGCTTCGAGAAATTCCTTGGTGGCTAATTTGGCTTGGACTAAATCCGTGAATGAAAAAGCGGCCACTTTTGCCAGAACTTCGATCAATAAATCGTTTGGGAGTGATTCTATGGTTGGTGGGAAATCACTGAAACGCGCCATCTTGGTTATCCTACACATCATAAATTAGAGGGAAACAAACTTAAAGAAGAGCTCGAACCGCCACCAAATTGGCAAAAACATGTCACAACCGCCGTAATAAATTTATTATTCAAAACTCATTGACGAAAAATAATCAAATAATTTTTATTAATAAAAAAAACATGCATGCAAAAATTAAGTTAACGTACCGTGAAATTTGAGAGTCAAGAGCTTGAGATTTTCGTTTCAAGGAACCGGCCATCGTTCTACAATTTGCAAGCTTTTCACTTATGAACGACGTTGTTGAGCTGTTTATCAAGAATTTCTGGAATATTTTGGTGGAGACGAGCAGAAAGGAAGCAGTGAGATGGGGTTTTAAAGGAAAGAAGAAGTGTTTCGAATAGGAAAATATGTTGATGGGAGGGAAAATGGAAGAGTTTATATAAGGAAAATATTTTGATTTTTCTATTGAGTTTTGAATTTCCTAATCTTATTACAAAATCTGATTTTAATTATTTTTTTTTTAACAAATAATATTTCAAAATTACAACCTTTATTTAATTTCTAATTGTTATTACAATTATCTTTCCGTAAATCTTGGGTTTACTCCGACTATATTTACTCTGTTAATATTTCTTTTTGTGGATGATTATTTTAAAAAAAAAATCATGAATTTTCTTATTTATCTGATCTACATTTTTATGAAATATTTACATTTTTTAAATGTATATTTATTAAACGGTTATTAAATTCATATTTGAAAATTTAAAAAACTATAATTAGGTTTTCAAAATTCAAACCAAAATTTAAAAATTAAAAAAATAAAATAGTTTAGTAAAATCTATTTTTGTAATAAAAATTTAATTAATAATATTAAATAATACACTTTTCAAAAATAAAAAATAAAGACAAAATCAAATAATTATTAAATGAGGGGTAAACAATGGACAGTTCATGGACAAGACGTTTAAAAATACTATACAATACGTTTAAAAATACTATACAATATCGTACGTTTTAATACTTATATATCATTCAATTCATTTTATTAGCTATAGAAGTATATAAAATGAGATATATATTTAGATTAAGAGACAGATTCGAAAACTTCATAATTATTTACTTTAATGATAATAATAGCTATTTAAACTTTTAATTGTATGAGCAGCTTTTAATTGATAGTGCCAAAACTTTGAACACATATTTAGAAAGAAATAAGATGTACGGATGCTATGTTTTTGTAAGTTTCATTAATGGAGAAGATTTTATTTCCCTTTTTTGTTTATATTTCATTTTCCTAACTGCATAAAACAAGTGTAGTGAGAGTGAATTTTTTTAAGTTTCATCCTAGTCGACACATTGCACGGTGTTTGATTCTGATATCATTTGTAACGATCCAAACCTAATGCTAGTATATATATATATATATATATATATATATATATATATATCCTTTTTAAAACTCATTTGGTACGTAGAGGTTTTCACATGCTTAGGAATAATGATTCGTTTTCTCCCTATCGAGGTAGGATTTACAATATATTTTAGACTTTATTATAAATGCACTAATATTTTAAAATAATTTTCAATTTTGAATCATTAATAAGCTTTGATAGTTAAATCATTCAAAGAATACAATTATAAAAAATAACAAATAATTCTATTATTAACTTCATAGTGGTAATTACAGGTGCCCTACCATAATATCATAACTCCCAGTTCTAAGCATATTACAAAATCTCAAAACTTCACCATTCCATACCTACCATAATATCATAACTCCCAGTTCTAAGCATATTACAAAATCTCAAAACTTCACCATTCCATTTACACGCTTCGCAAGTGTGTTCTCCATAATAATCATCTTCATCATTCCAATCCCATCCAATTCTTCTCACGTTCTTCTTACAACAATTCTTAACCACACTCTCATAGCCCCTCTGATCACTGGAATCCTTTTTCGGCACAGAAATCTTGTTCTTAACCCAAAGATAACGAACAAATTCCTTAACTCTCCGACGACATTCAACCAATTTAAACCCTAATTTTGCCCACAAATCTTCAAGAACTTCACTCCCTCATCCTCCATACTCATTGCGTACAAAATGATGCCGTATACGTAACAAGCATCCGGGTAGCCTTTTTGGGCAGAAAGCTTTAAATATACCATTCCAAAAGCTCCTCTACAATGAGTGAAGAATTTCAACATTCCCTTTTGGTATAAAGTCTCTGGGTTTCCGTTATTGTTGCATTTTTCCATGAACGACCAAAACTCTTTGCTGTTGTTCCATAGAAGTTTCTGAAAGTTTTCAAGAGATGCGTGCTGGAATATGTAGTTGTGGTTTGATGCTTCGAGAAATTTTTTAGTGGCTAGTTTGGCCTGGACTAAGTCGGTGAATGAAGAAGCTGCAACTTTTGCTAGAACTTCGATCAATAAATCGTTTGGGAGTGATTCTATGGGCGATGGAGAAGCACTAAAACGTGCCATTTTGATTGTCCTGCACATCATAAATTAGAGGGAAACAATCAAAAAAAGAGCTCGAGCCACTGCCAAATTGGCAGAACCGGGTCGCAACTCCTAGACGAAAAATAGTTAAATAATTTTTATTGATAAAAAAACATGCATGCAAAAATTAAGGTAATGTACCGTGAAATCTGAGAGCCAAGAGCCTGTGATTTTCGTTTCAAGGAACCACCCATCGTTCTACAATCTGCGAGCTTTTCTCTTATGAACGGGATGATCGGATGGTTTATCAAGAATTTCAGAAATATTATGATCAAACCGAAAGAAAAGGAAGGTGGAGTTTGTTTATAAGTCAGATGGGGTTTTAAAGGAAAGAAAAAGTGTTTCAGAAGAGGAAAATATGTTGATCGGTGGGAAGATGGGAGAGTTTATGTAAGGAAAATATTTTGATTTTTCCATTGAATTTTGAATTTCATCATCTTATTACAAAATCTAATTTTAATTATCTTTTTTTTTTAAAAAACAAATCTGAAATTAAATATTTCAAAATGACGGCCTTTATTTAGTTTTCAATTGTTATTACCATTATCTTTCCGCAAATCTTGGGCTTACCCGACTATATCTACTCTGTTAATATTTCTTTTTGGGATGATTATTTAAAAAAAAATAATGAATTTTCTTATTTATCTTATCTACATTTTTATCAAATATTCACATTTTTTAAATGTATATTAAATAAACGGTTATTAAATTCAATTGAAAAATTATGAAAGTTTATAACCATAATTAGGGTTTTCAAAATTGAAACCAAAATGTAGTAAAATCTATTTTTGTAATAAAAATTCGATTAATAATATAAATATTTAATAAAAAAAAAATATAATATCCCTGTTATAAAAATTACGAGAAAATATAATACACTTTTCAAAAATAAAAAAGAAAGACAAAACGAAATAATTATTAAATGGAGTGTAGACAATGGACAATTAACAGAAGAGATGTTTAAAAATGTTATACAATTTCGTAAGTTTTAATACTTCTATATTATTCAATTCATTTTATTAGCTATAAAAGTTTATAAAATAGGTTATATACTTCGAATAAGAGATAGATCCAAAGACTTTCATAATTATTTAACTTAAATGATAATAATAATTTTTTTTAGCTATTTAAATTTGGTAAGTAATTATTAAATATAACCATTTAGAAAGATATTTTAGCTATTTAAATTTGGTAAGTAATTATTAAATATAACCATTTAGAAAGATATAAGCTGTAGGGATGGCTATGTTTTTGTAAGTTTCATTAATGGAGAAGATTTTGTTTTCCCTGTTTTGTTTATATTTCATTTACCTAACAGCATAAAACAAAACAAGGGGAGTGAGAGTAAATTTATGGTTCTTATTTTAGATTCAGCATCTTAGTCGACACATCGCACGGTGTTTGGTTCTAATATAATTTGTAACGGTCCAAATCTAATGCTAGTAGTTATATATATATTTTTTTTGAATTTCTCGTCCCGAGTTCCCCTCAAGGTTTTTAAAACCCATTTGGTATGTAGAGGTTTTCACACGTTTAGAAAGAATGATTCGTTTTCTCCCGACCGATGTAGGATTTATAATATATTTTAAATTTTATTATAAATGCACTGATATTTTAAAATAATTTCCAATTTTGAATCTTGATAAGCTTTGATAATTAAATCATTCAAATATATGAATACAATTATAAAAAATAACGAATAATTCTATCATTAACTTCATAATGGTAATTACAAGTCTCCTTCCATAATATCATAACTCCCAGTTCTAAGCATATTACAAAATCTCAAAACTTCCCCGTTCCATTTACACGCTTCGCACGTATGTTCTCCATAATAATCATCCTCATCATTCCAATCCCATCCATTTCTTCTCACGTTTTTCTTACAACAATTCTTAATCACACTCTCACAGCCCCTTCGATCACTGGAATCATTTTCCAGTACATAAATCTTGTTCTTAACCCAAAGACAATAAATAAATTCCTTAACTCTCCCGCGACATTTAGCCAGTTTAAACCCTAATTTTGCCTCACAAATCTTCAAGAACTTCACTCCCTCATCCTCCATACTCATTGCGTACAAAATGATGCCGTATACGTAACAAGCATCCGGGTAGCCTTTTTGGGCAGAAAGCTTTAAATATGCCATTCCAGAAGCTTCTCTACAATGAGTGAAGAATTCCAGCATTCCCTTTCGATATAAAGTCTCTGGGTTTCCGTTATTGTTGCATTTTTCCATGAATGACCAAAACTCTTTGCTGTTGTTCCATAGAAGTTTATGGAAGTTTTCAAGAGATGCGTGCTGGAATATGTAGTTGTGGCTTGATGCTTCGAGAAATTTTTTAGTAGCTAGTTTGGCATGGACTAAGTCGGTGTATGAACAAGCTGCAACTTTTGCCAGAACTTCAATCAATAAATCGTTTGGGAGTGATTCTATGGGCGGTGGAGAAGCACTAAAACGCGCCATTTTAATTGTCCTGCACATCATAAATTAGAGGGAAACAATTAAAAAAGAGCTCGAGCCGCTGCCAAATCGACAGAACTGGGTCGCAACCGCCATAATAAATTTATTATTGAAAACTCATAGACGAAAAAATAGTTAAATAATTTTTATTGATAAAAGAGCATGCATGCAAAAATTAAGGTAATGTACCGTGAAATCTGAGAGCCAAGAGCCTGAGATTTTCGTTTTAGGGAACCGGCCATCGAACAATCTGGAAAGATCTGTAAGCTTTTCCCTTATGAATGGAGTCGTTTTAAAGGAAAGAAAAAGTGTTTCGGAAGAGGAAAATATGTTGATTGGTGGGAAGATGGGAGAGTTTATATAAAGAAAATATTTTGATTTTCGTATTGAGTTTTGAATTTCCTTATCATATTACAAAATTTGATTTTAATTATCTTTTTAAAAAATAAATCTGAACTTAAATATTTCAAAATTACCGCCTTTATTTAATTTTTAACTCTTATTACCATTATTTTTCCGCAAATAATGGCTACCCAACTATATTACTCTTTTAATATTTTTTAATATTTCTTTTTGTGGATGATTATTTTTAAAAAAAATCATGAATTTTCTTATTTATCATGAATTATAAAATCTATTTTTGTAATAAGAATTTGGTTAATAATATAAATATTTAATAAAATAAGATAGAAAATCCTTGTTATAAAAATTACGGAAAAATATATTACACTTTTTAAAATTAAAAAAGGAAAATGAAACAAAATAATTATTAAATGGGATGTATACAATGGATAGTTGACGGAAGAAACGTTTAAAAATGTTATACAATATCGTACATTTTAATACTTTTATATCATTCGGATCGTTTTATTAGCTATGAAAGTTTATAGAATGAGATGTATATTTAGATTAAAAGAAAGATCTGATGACTTCATAATTATTTACCTTAATCTTAATGATAATAATAATTCTTGTTTTAGCTATTTAAATGGTTTATTATATTAGTAGCTTTTAATTAACTTACCACACATATTTAGTGAGTAATTATTAAATATAATCATTTAGAAAGAAATAACCTAATTTCAATTTTCCGTCTGCATTTATTAATAATATTTATGAACTCTCTTTGATCCTTAAAATAATAATAATAAATAAATAGACTTTCTTTCAAACGTGTTTTAATTTTAAAATATATGTACTAATTCAATAAACAAATTTGGGATGGGATTTTTTATTTATTTATTTTAGGCTTTTTCTTTTTGTTACAATTATTTTTTTAAAAAAAAACTAGCTATTTAATTTATTAAACAACATTACAATATTATATATGTATATATATAGAGAGAGACATAATTATATATGTAAATTATTTTCCAGATTTCTAAGTCTAACTACTTAGGGAAAAAATATTAAATTATTTATTTAGACCGATTAAATTGAAAAAAATAAAAATAAAAATAGTCAACATATTAATGTATTTAAGAAAAAATACATATGCGTAATAAATTATTTTTGCCTCACGAAAAATAATAATATTAATAATTATAATTAAAATGATTCAATCGTGGATGCCACAACAAATTCCCTCTTCTTGTACAAACTCTCCTTCCATCACCATTTTCCCAAAATGGCCGAGCCGAGAAAATCCCCCTCGCCGGCGCCGCCTCTACGGTCATCTCCGCAGTCGTCACCGCTGCCGGCAATGTCACTCCAACCATCTCCAAAACGATCAGGTTTCTCAAAGCCTACAAAACTCCTCCGGCAAGTCCGCTCTGTCTTCCGTACACTTCCGATTCTGTCGCCGGCGTGTCGAATTCCACTAAACGGCAGTCGGCTACACGACGGCTACGTACACGGTGGCGCTCGGATCACTGGAACGATCTTCGGTTACCGGAAGTCGCGAGTTAATTTGGCGTTCCAAGAAAGCCCTAGGTGCCTACCGATTTTGATTTTGGAACTGGCGATTCCGACGGGGAAACTCCTCCAGGACATGGGGCAAGGGCTCGTCAGGCTCGCGTTGGAGTGCGAGAAGCGGCCGTCGGAGAAGAGGAAGATTCTGGAAGAGCCGATTTGGACATTGTACTGTAATGGAAGAAAATCGGGATATGGAGTTCGGAGAGATCCGTCCAGTGAGGATATGAAAATTATGCAGACTTTGAACGCGGTGTCGATGGGCGCCGGCGTGATCCCGGCGGAGGAAGCGGCGGAGACGGCGGACGGTGATCAATTGACGTATATGAGAGCGTATTTTGAGCGAGTGACTGGATCCAAGGACTCCGAGACGTTCTACATGATGAATCCGGATAGCAGTAATGGTGCTGAACTCAGTGTTTTCTTGGTTAGAATTTAAATAATATTTTTTATTTTTCTTTTTATTTTTTGGTTGTTTTTCTTTTTAGCTGATAATATTATTGTTAATTTCTTGATGCTTTGAAGATAGTGTCGGAAAAATGTATCATGACGTGTAAAAATCGTTGAGAAATTTTCATTTTCTGACGTTGAAAAAACCTGAATTCATTACTGACAAGTGGAAAAAAAACCCATGAATTATTGCAATATTGTAAATTTTTTTAGTTAAATTAATAAAAATATATTTATAACAAACTTCACGGCTAACCTATATCTTTAAAATGTGTAATACTTCGTTATTACTAATGTGAGATTTCATAATTCACTCTTTTAAATAAGTGTGGGATCTCAGAATCTACCGTGTCCACTAACTTGGGGGCT